GGCTGGCCCGGGGCAGCTGGGCAGCTGACATCCGAGGCTTGCCTATGCCTAGGGCTGGCCCTGGGCAGCTGGTGGACTGAGGGGACTGGGCGCCACCATCTTGTAGTTGTGGGTGCTGCCATCTTTGAGGGCATGGTAGTCAATTAGGGGATATATACATACATATAGATTAGAGGCCTGGTGTGCAAAATTTGTGCGGGGAGGGGGGCAGGGGGGTCCCTCAGCCCAGCCTGCACCCTATTGCAATCCGGGACCCCTTGGGTAGGGTCCCTAGGCCTGGCTGGCGATCAGGGCCTATCGGGGCCTTCCTTCTGGCAGCTGGCCCTGTCCCTGCCGCTGCTTACCATCTGTGCAGCACTGCCACCCCTTCCCCCTGCCACCGGTCGCCTCCGTCTACAGGCAATAGGTGTGGAGTGTGACCGCTTGGCTAGCCTGGGCGTCCCTCTGCAGGGCAATCGTGGGGAGATGGCCGGGCCCCCTTACCAATTGCATTGCACCCGCCCTGGCTGGCCTGGCGCCAGTGCATGTCATATCGTGGTTGTCCGGATGGTAATTCTGCTGTTTGGTCATTTGGTCAATTTGCATATTATGCTTTTATTATTATAGATAAGCATTCACATGCCTTTCTGACCATTTTCAGTTTATAAACAGACTTACTTGCTGTTTTCTGTCTCGATAGCCTCGAATAAATGACTGAATAATTATTGCGTTTTTCAATCTTCGCCTTTCTTCCTGAATAAAGGAGGAAGGAGGGAACAGTCGGTCAGAATCAGTGAAAATAACATTTAGTTAGTAAAGACTTAAAAATTACAGCTATATATTTAATTCACATAGCACAAAATTCACTTTTTAAACTGTACCATCACCAATTTTTAATATATTCAAATTTGTGCAACCATCTATCTAATTTTAGAACACTTTCATCACCCACTCCCCAAAATAACCATGTACCTATTAGCAGTCACCATCATTCCTTGTCCTGCTTCCCCTACTTCCATGCCCTTGGCAACCACTTGAACTTTCTGTCTGTACTCTATTTCATATAGTGGAATCACAGAATAAGTAGCTTTTAAAAAATATATATCTTTTTATTGATTTCAGAGAGAGGAAGGAAGAGGGAGAGAAGGAGATAGAAACATCAATGAAAATCATTGATTGGTGCCTCCTGCACACCCCCTACTAGGGACTGAGCTGCAACCTGGGCAGGTGCCCTAACCGAGATTCAAACTGGTGTCCAGGATGATGCTTAACCGAGCCACACTGGTTGGGCTGTGGCTTTTTCACTTGGCATGAAGTGTGTTTGTTGTAAAATAATTTATTTTTTATTTTTTTGAAGAAGCATGGAAGAGACAGAGAGACACATCGATGTGAGAGAGACATATGGATTCTATGCCTCCCACACACTCCCCAACCAGGGCCTGAGGGATCAGGAATCAGAGCCTGCAACCCAGGTATGTGCCCTTGGTGGGAATCGGACCCAGGACACTTTAGTACATGGGCTGACACTCTAACCCAGGGGTGGGCAAACTTTTTGACTCGAGGGCCACAATGGGTTCTTAAACTGGACCGGAGGGCCGGAACAAAAGCATGGATGGAGTGTTTGTGTGAACTAATATAAATTCAAAGTAAACACATTACATAAAAGGGTACGGTCTTTTTTTTATTATTATTTTTTTTTAGTTTTATTCATTTCAAATGGGCCGGATCCGGCCCGCGGGCCATAGTTTGCCCACAGCTGCTCTATCCACTCAGCCAAACCAGCTAGGGCTGGTATGATGATTTTTAAGGTTCACCCACATTGTATCACCTATCGGTCTTTCAGTCCTTTTTATGGCCAATTAATATCCACTGTATGGCTGCCTCACGTTGAGTTTATCAGCCAATGGACATTTGTGCTTCCACTTTGGGCTACTATGAGCAATACTGCTATGGACATTCATGAACAGTTTTTGCATGGACAAACGGTTTTCATTTCTCGTGGGTGAATACAGGAGTGAAACTAATACCTGAGGAACTGCAGACTGTTTTCCAGAATGGCTTCACTATTTTACAATCCTACCAGAATAGTGACTTTTTTTTTTAGGTTTTGGTTTTAAATATTAAAAGAATACAGACAGGCAATACAAACACCTATTTTAAGGGTCACATCTTTGTTTCAAAGCAGAAAACTCCGATTTTTACTGACTTAAGACTGTCTTCAGTGACCTAGCAAAATGATGTATTCATCATCATTAAAACACTGCAGGCACCACGTTTGACAGCCTGCTGTGTGCCAGCCCTAAGAAAGACCCTTCACGTGCACCTGTACAATAACCTTCCAGGTGAGAATTTCTCTTGTTTTAAAGATGCAGAAACTGAGGGTCAGCAGTCAAACTCAGGCTGACACTAAACTGGGTACTCCATCTCCCACGTGGTACTGCTTCATGCCTTTTAGGAATG